ATCCCCATTCTCAGGTCCTCAGCTTCTTTCTTGGTTGCAGTTCTATCAAATCTATTGAGGTGTGAAAGCCGTACTTCGGGATTCCCCACTGTGATGGTGTTATTGTCTTTCTCCTTGTAGTGGTTACACTTTCCTGAAGATTTTTTTAGGTGTTATGATGAATTGGTGCGTTTGTATTGAATATTGATACAGATTATCTTTGGTGCTTGGAAACTGGAAGGCTCTTTAAATTGAATAGTAGTTTATTTTTTCTAATTACATATAAGGACAATTTTCAAAATTCCCTTTGGAAAGGTTTTGACTTCCAAGTTTTTCTCCCTCCCTCACTTCCCCACCCCAGACAGCAAGCAGTTTGGTGTAAGTTATGTATGTGCAGCCATGTAAAACATATTTGCACATTAGTCATGTTGTGAAAGAAGAAACAGAACAAAAGGGGGAAAAAAACCATAAAAAACCCCCAGAAGTGAAAATAGTGTGCTTCCGTCTGCACTCAGACTAGCAGTTCTTTTTCTGGAGATGGATAGTATTTTCCATCATAAGTCTTTTGGAATTTTCTTGGATTGCTGTATTGTCGAGAAGAGCTAAGCCAGTCATAGTTGATTGTCTCAGTATGTTGCTATTACTGTGTACAAGGTTCTGGTTCTACTCACTTCACTCAGCATCACTTCATGTAAGTCTTTCCAGGTTTTTCTGAAGTCTGCCTGTTCATCATTTCTTATTGTACAGTAGTACTTCATTACATTTGCGTGCTACGGCTCTCTGTGTTATTTTGAACGTTAACCCCAGTTTTTCTCTCAAATAAGGGCCTATCTTGTTAACAGTATTCTTCCAGCTTCACCATATGGTTACACATGTAATGTTGCAGTCTCTGAAGAAGCTGCAGATTTCTTAAACGGGGACTAGGGCATGAGGAGGCAGTGCTGTATGTTAGCAATGAAGACGTAGCATAAAAGAGGTCAGGAGAGATGTAGAACTGAAAAAAAAAACTGACAAGAGTGAGCTGCAACCTTTGAAGAAGATGCATGGTTGATTGGCGTGCATGCAGTTGCTTGTAGACCATCCTTAGCACCTTAAGTAAACCACTGGTTGAAGAGTCACAGGAGGATAAGGAGATGGAAGACAGTTGCCCAGAATGCAATAATGTGATCCACTTGTGACCTTCTTTGGAGGAGGAAGGTGCCCTCACTGGTGAGATGGAGACAAGTATCAAAGATTGTTCCCTGGGTCAACTTGACCTCTTCACAGTATGAGCTTTAACCAAGTCATTTCCAGCTCCTGTTACCCCATTGAAAATATCTATAAAGATTTAGACTACCTCAGAATTGACTGTTTTGAATGTTACTACTTCTTTTTGAAGTCACTGAAAAAGTTTTGAACAAATACCTTTATAATTTGTAGTTCATCCTTATCAGTATACTCATTCATTTATTTATTCAGGAGGCAGATATTTATTGATGAGCAGTATGTACCCAGAACTGTTTTAGGATACCTAGATTATTTTTTCTAACATGGTTTTTTCCAGCCCTTAATAGAGTGTCTTTGTCTTCTATCATTTGTGTAGTTTTGTTCACCTCTAGGAATTTGCTATACATAACTCCACGTGTTTTTAGAGTGTATACATAGCTACCACATTAATTTTTTATTATAACTATTTTTTTCTGCCCAGTCTGGTATAAACAAATGTAATGAGTCTATTATACAGCCTGTTGTCTAACTTACTGATGAAAATATTAAATATCAAAGCAAACATTACTCTGTAAACATAATCATTGCTGGGAAATTGTTAGGTATACATTCTGTTCTATTTTCTTTCAAGAATGATGAGTGAAATACATGGAGATAATAATAACAATAAAATAGAAGAAATAATAACATTCATATAGTGCTTTAAGTTTTGCAAAGTGCTTTATAAGTATTATTTCATTTCATCCTTACAACCACTCTGGGAAACAGGTGCTATTAATATGATTTGCCTGGGGTCACAACTAGTAACTGTCTGAGGCTGCATTTGAACAAAGGTCTTCCTCACTCCAAGTACCCTATTCACTGTGCCACCTTGCCACCTGGATATTGATTCATTATATTCCAATTAATTTTATTCCAAAGTTACAATATTCCAATTCCAATATTCCAAATTATATTTCCCCTGGCAGCAAAAATGAGTTAGTTGTATGTTTCAAATGTGACACCGCCCCACAGATGGCGTGTCCTTTGTGTTTTTCATCAACTCCAGATCCACTGCCGTGATTTTCCCTTATGATTTTCTGCCACTGGGGAAATCTGAGGAAAACTAACCAGGTTAGCTTGTGAGGAAAGGGGAACAGAGCGACTTCAGGAACTCTGTCTGACATTGAGGGACGTCCTAGCTGGCTGTAAGATCAAGTGCAGTGATTGATGAGCGGTGGTTCACTTTTCGATCTCGTGTTAATGATGAAGTGGAAGACAGGTTGTGAGAAGGCCTTTTTTTAATGTTACCTGAGACATTGTCAGCACCCAAGAATAGTGACCGTTTTTCTTTGACAGCTCCTTGAGTTTCTGGAATATCTAAAAGTAGGATGCAACTGGAAATAATTTAAAAATTTTCCGTAGCACTTTGCCTGGATAGCTCCTTCGCATGTATGATAATCTGAGTTATATTTATTTGTACTCTTTTATTCCCAGTATTAGGTTGTAAGCTGCTTTAGGGCAGGGACTGTATTTGTTTCATATTTGTATCCCAGTAGCCTACCATATAGCTTACACATAGTAGGTACTTAATAAATATGACTTAAATTCTTGAATTAACATCTTTGCTCACTTTCCCCCATGTTTTATTTAGCTTGGTCTGTAAAACTTGTTTCCTATAGAGTAAACACATAATTAATTTTTAAAAATATTAAATTATTAAATAAAAACATACATAGAAAATGTTTAGTTTTAACTTCTTAAATTATTAGGAAATGGGTTTAAAATGAAAATTCCATTTTCTTTAGTTACATATGAAAGGATATTGAGTAAAATACCACATGAGATAAAATTAGTTTTTTGTTCACATAAAAACTAAAAGTTTAATTGAATATCTAATATAGAAAGATTCCATATGGAGGTTTATGTATAATGGTATTTTAGTGGTGGATTTGTGATCTTATTGATGTGAACCTTTTTCTTAATGATGTACTTATGCATGATTTTTTCCTCCTGTCCAACTCATATCTGTGTTCTCTCTCAAATTCTTTACGGGGGGTTCACTGAACCTATTAGGGCCTTTCTTTAACTTTTGACATTGCAGGGATACTAGGAGGTTCGTGTAGGATGTCCATACATGATCTCTTATTCTCACACATGACTAGACATTTTTCCTGTGTTACTCTTTATCGATAATATGTTGTAGCCTGTTTGTGCCCACCCATTATGTACTTCTCGATTCGTTAGATGACTTTTAACTTTAATTCTTACTAGACTGGATTTCTCTGGATTACTGTCATATAGCATCAATAAAAGAATACTGGGCCTTGGTTTGAGGAAAAGGGTCATTAAAAGCACTTCAGACTTTCCTAAAGGCAATCCAATCCACCTCTTGTTCTCTTCAGTTTGGGGGCCCATTCATTGTTTATCCTCAATGTCTGAGATTGGTACTGTGATATATCATCAACTTTATGAACTGTACGTCATCTTGCATATCAGAACCTGTATAATAGGCATACTTTGTATGTGTTGTTTTTCTTGTTTGAAAAGTTAAATCAATCACTTCTCAATTAAGAAGTTTTTTCTAGTGTTTCTTGATTGTCATTTTCTACAAAGAGCATATGGACAAAGTTATTAACAAAGTTATCTCTGTGGTCAAATCCTTGTAGCAGTCTTGTATGATTTTAAACATAAGATTTTAAACATATGGGAGGCACCTTGTTGGAGAGCATTTAAGGTGGTCTTTTGCTGTATTGAATCAGATTCTTTTTTTTTTTTTAAAGTCAACCTATATAAGCACAGTTCGATATTGTATTCTGCAACTTTCAGGCAGTTGTATTACTATGAAATCTACTAATTTTTGATAGCTTTGTGCATGCTTTTCAACCTTCACCAGAGATAGATTCAAAATGTGTGTAGATTATTCTTGTAAAAGTGTTTTTTAAAGAGAACAGGCATTTGGGATAATAGTAACTGATATTTTTTTAGTAGCTTTTTTTTTGGAGGGTAATAGAACAATATCTCCTACTTTGGACTAGGCCACTTTTTGGACAAGAATTTCATGTTTAGAGTACCAACAACTAAGCTAATGTTTACAGACAGCAAAAAAATAGGTGATTCTTAACAACTTTGGCCCCCTTTCCCACCACACTTTTCACTGTTATGGCAGAAATGGTAAGGTATTATATAGAACCTAAGGACCACTGTTTCATGGGTGGCCATAGCCAAAAAATCTACTGCCAAATGGCCAGTCTGCTTATGAGTCTTTTTGTACTTAATGAGAGTAGACCTAGGAAAGAGCACGTAGTTCATTACCAGAACTGAGCTGTCAGCCTTTTCTTCATGGTAGAGCCTGCCAGAGTTTGGGCATCAGTGGCCAAGCTTTTGAGAACCAGTGATCTCCATGCTACAGTGACGTCTTAGTACATTGTAGGACTTTGTATCTATACATCAGAAAATTAAAATATTTTCAAATTAAAAATCCTTTATAACTTTAAACATTGAAATAGTTTCTTCTAGATAAACTTCTAATGAAGATGGAAATGTGGAATTATGAGGCAGCCTTTTATAAAAGTAATATACATTTATGAAATAGATGAATACATTTACCCTTTTAGTTTTGCTTCTGAAACATTGAGTTACTCTGTAGTTGAGGTCTCTTGTTTTATAAAAAATGGACATTGATTTTTAGAAGTCATTTGTCAGATGTCATTAGAATAGAGTTTACATCATAATGCCAGGATACTTAGAAATATTTTCTTTAGTGTGTTACATATCTCAAACTGATAATTAAATTCTATACAACATTTTCACTGTTTATGTATTTTTTTTTTCAGATGGCCTCATTATTTCCTATGTATATTGTGGGGTATATTGAGCCATACAAATTTCTGAAGATCATCCTTGTGAACATGGTAATTTCTTATTATCATTTAATTTGATATTAAATTCAAACACTTTGATGCAAGTTTATTAATTACTTTACATACTTTATTATAGAAGTTTAACTAAAGTAGTCCTAATTAAGACATATTAATTGGACTTTGCATAGTAACATTTGTTGTCATTCAGTTGTTTTCAGTCATGTCTGACTCCTTGTGACCCCATTTGGGGTTTTATTGGCAAAGATACTTGAATGGTTTGCCATTTCCTTTTCCAGCTCATTTTACAGAGGAGGAAATTGAGGTAAACAGGGTTAAATGACTTGTCTAGGGTCCCATAGCAAGTAAGTGTCCGCGGTGGGACTTGAATTCAGGAAGATCAATTTTGCTGATTCCAGGCCCGGAACTCTATGTACGATGGTGTCACCTGGCTGCCCGTAGTAACATTATAGTCTGATTATAATATTTTGTCATTTAATCTTTCCCTTAGTCTTATAATCCCTTCATCTTCCCCATTCCCTTCATTCTCTCCACTCCTTAGTTCTTTCTCAGTTCATCAACCTTGCCCCATCTATACGCTCTTCTTTTTTTCATGTCTTGACCCCTTGGTGAATCAGCTTCTCTCTTGTCCTGTCACTCATCACACCTTTTGAAACTTCAACCCTGGATTACTTTCACCATCCATACCATTTGCTCCTATTTGTGTACTGCTAAACAGAGCTAGAAGAAAGTAAGAAACTGTGCTGACTGGGTACACTAAAATGTATTATCCAGTCTCAACTTGACTTTCAGTGGAGCATGACGAACATTCTGTCCACCTTAGTAGATTAGCTTTTGCACTTTCCCTCAAAGTTGTTCCATACATTCTCATCTATTCTTAAACCTTCTTTGATACACTCTCCTCAGCCCTCTCTGATTAGGACCATGCCTCATAGTTCACCAAAAACATTGATCGCATTACTTCAGAGCTCTTCTTTCTCCCCACTCCTCATTTCACAGCATTCAGATAGCTTTCCCTACTATTTCCTCCTTCAGTCTGGTATCAAATGAAGAAGTGGCTTTTTTTCTTGCCAAGAGTAACCCCTCTACATGTACCCTCGATTTCAGTCCCTCTCAAACTTTCTAGCAAATTGGTCTCACTGTCCTCCCACTTCCTTTCATTTTCCTTCTCTCCTTATCTTCTAGCTTCATTTCTGCTACCCAAGAATGTCTGCCTCTCACTTAAGAAAAACATCTCATTTGATCCTGTGTTTCCCTGTGAACATTTTCTAAATCTCTTTTCTCCTTTGTAGCGTGGAAAGCCATCTGCACTTACTGATTCCACTTCTTTTCTCACTTTCTAAACCCTCCACAATCTATATTCCAACCTCTTAGTTCAACTAAAATTGCCCTCTCTGAAGTTAGCAGTGTTGTTTTAATTGCCAAATCTGATGGCCTTTTCTCAATCCTCATTCTTCTTTGACTTCTCTGAAGCATTTGACACTGTTGATAATTCTTTCCTGAATAATTACTCCTCTTTGTTTTCTGTAACACGACCAGTTCTCCACTTATCTCTCTGATCATTAACTATGGGTATCCCCCAAGACTTCATCCTGGGGCTTCTTCTTTTCTCTTCTATTTCATCTTGGTGATCTTATCAGATTCCATGGGTTCAAGTATTATTTTTTCTGCTGATGATTCTCAGATTTGGATATCCAGCTCTAATCTCTCACGAGCTACAATCACACATTGCCAACTGCCTCTTTGGTATCTTGGACTGGATTTCTCAGAGGTATCTTAGGCTCAACATGTCTAAAACAGAAATCATCTGTCCCTTTCCTTTTTCTGCCCCTGAACTCCTTCCCCCCCCCCAAACTTTCCTCTTACTGTTGGAAGATTCCTTATTTTCACTTGACACTCCAACTAATTACCAAATCTTGTTGTTTCTCACTTCTCAGTATCTTTCCACTAGACCTGTTTATCTCAATTTACAGTCACAACCCTAGTTCAGGCTCTTGTCACCTCTCTACTGGTCTGCTGAGGTTGCCTAACTTGCCTGTAGACTCTTCTCCATTCTAATCTGTCAAGATGCTTTTTCAGAAATTGATCTGACCACATGTCCCACTCATTCCAGGGTCAAGTATAAAGCTTCACTGTTTGGTGCTTAGAGCTCTTCATGAACTGGTCCCTTCCTACCTTTACAATCTTGTACTTGAGTACCCTTCACCTGCTGATAATCCGATCCAGGTACTCTGACTTGCTTATAATTCTCGGACAGACACTCCATTTCCTGTCTCGAGCCTTTGTCCTGTCTATTCCTCATACCTGGAACACTCTGCCCCACCCCCCCTCTGCTCCTTATGTCACTGGCAGTCTGTAGAAAGCCTTTCCTACTTCCCAGGAGCAAACTAGTCAGGGCACAAGACAGCAGGACCATCACTCTAGACACTCTGCCTGCCTTGATGCAGCCTCAGCATTTTGGGCCACCATGTCACCATGGACTCCTGTATAGTGAAAAGTGCCATTAAAACTATAGCTCTTGTGAACAAAATTCCTCCAGAATCACACTGTTCTTGTTTTTGAACTTGTGAATTTGATTTTTCCAAGTCAGGGTAAGACTTTATTCAAATACTGGTACTCTCAACAGTCTAGGTATTCCCTTTAGCTCTTTAGATGTCATCCCATCCATACAGGACTGCCAATTCTGTGTTTCTTGTCTATGTCTTTGTGAATTATATGTCCCATGTGCCTTCCTTCCTTCCTTCCTTCCTTATTTCTTGACATACAAGTTTACCAGTGATATCAGCAAAGTTGAATGGTTTTCTCCCCCTTATATCTTTTTTGGTCCTGTCTTTCTTTGATGATACTGTTTATTTGTTTTTCTATCCTCTGAAGTTAGCGCAAGCATAAAGTAAATGTTTTAAATAGATGCTGGTTGATTGGTTTCTGTTCTGTAAGATTTCTCCATTTTCTTTTGAGTAATTTTCAGTTTTAATTTTTTAAAGTGTTTCTAAAGTGTTCATGACTGATACCCACGTTCCTTAGTTTTAAGAATGAAGTGTAGGATCATTAAGGAAATTGTCATTTCTTTTTTTCCTTCTTTTTGGCCATAAAAAATTGATAGTATTTATCGTCTTGGAATACAAACAGGATCTTTGGACTTGAGATGTTCAGTCATTCTGGTCTTGCCACGATTATCTGCACAACTCAATACAGTAACTGCAGCATTAGTAGCCAACTTGATAGCCTGGTCTTCTCCGAGGTGCAAAACACCCTTTGCTGCGGCGGTCTCAGCCTCCACATCCAATCCAGCACTCTGGTCTGCTTCTTGATGTACTGCATGAAGTTTAGAGATCGCTTCATTAGCCTGAACTGGAACTTTCTGCCGCCGTTTCAATGTCGTTGGTCTGTAGAAACTCCATGAACTAGAGTAGAGATGCCAGCCTCTCCGTTTCCGTGCTTAAGAACAACTGCTTGTGCGTCTCCGACCTCTGGTAAATAAACACTGTCACAATGGCCCATTTCTTCAAGCATTGGGGGAGTCAGTCTACAAAGGGCAGTAGCACCAACAATTTGACACAGTCTTCGGAGATCCCACCAACGATTCAGCCTGACCAACATTATCTTTTATTTGTTTGAGTAACGAAGAACCAGATCTGCAACTTTGCCACCTACTGTTACATTTGCACCAGAATCAGCAGTAGCCTTCACTTGTGAATCCAGGAGATTTTTTTCTCCTTTGCTAAAATTCATTAGTTCTTCTGTAGTCTTTATCAGTACTATTCCCTTAGTTTCAGTTATTGTGCCACCAGAAGGACAAGGATACACTGTTATTTTAGCATCTTTCACTGAAGTTGCATCACCTTCAGTTTCTTTCCGAAAAACCGTACCATGCAGTACTAAAGAGGAATGGATGCCAGAGCCCAGAATTTTACACACTCTGAAATGATCAACATTGAAATGACCAGAATCAGGAAAAACAGATACACATGCCTAGGAAATGAGCTTTGCCAAAAAGACTTCATTTCCATACTGCTTGCTCATAATGGAGGTCTGAAGCAGAGCTGGTACTTCATCAAACTCTCTTAAGATTTTTTGCAGAACAACATATTAAATCAGGAAAGATTTCATGGGCTTTTCTGCAAGCTATTACATAACCTTCTATGACCTCTGACACAGGGTGATTCTCAGGAGTTCTTCAGCTAACTCTAGAAAGGCTCCAGCATACACAAGGACAAAATTTGTGACATCCCCTCCAATCTCTTGCTCTTGCATGTGAGAAGCCATTACCATCATTTTTGCAGCAGGATGCTGTCCTTCTGGCTCTCTTAAAATAGTAGCTGTATCATTGGTCACAAACAGCTTCTCCAGATGTTCATTCCATTTGGTCCATATTCAGTACGGGTAATCTGGGCAAACTCCTTACATGCTTGTATGTTCCTGTACACTCTCTAATCCTGAATAATGTTTAGCCCCTCCTTTCAGCCTCTGGGTGAAACCCAGAGCTTTGAGAATGTGGAGTGCCACAGCTACATGGTAACTATGGATCAAAATGGACAAGACGCCAAACACACCAGAGAAAAAGCATGCAATGCCAGCTCGGTTATTTCTAAAAGACAATCGAGTCTGCCCTTTTCCTCCTGTTCAATTTTCAATCCAACTCATTATTCATTTACATTATTCCTTTTTTCCGTTCTTCTCTCTCTCCTTTTTTTTTTTTATCTACTCATCAGATCATATAGAGAAAGAATATATGCACACACATATATACTGATAGATGCAATCTTTTGGTTAGCCATCTAGCTGCATTTCATATCTGGCCAGTAGATATTCTTCAACCACTTGCTTTTTCTCCCTGTGAGAGTGATTAGGCCAAAATCTTTTGAGCGGTCATGGATCTAATTAGAGAGGCTCAGCAGTGTTCCAGGAATTGATGTAACCAGCACCATGTTCTCTCTGAAAAAGGGCGTGAGTTATAGGAAATCCTACTTCATCATGGTCCTACCACTAGATCTTTTCTGTGACGGGGCAGACACTTTGACAAGAATGTATCT